ATTCGTATTTATACAGATAAATATCTAAAGAGTATCTTTTTTCTTTCTTTTTTTTTCATTTCAAGACTTGGAATGTCTTAAAATGTATTAGGAAAACAATTTCTGAAGAAAAAAAAATAACGAGTTAAACCATCGATTATATGGAGCGGAAAGGAGGTGTCTTGTCCACAAGTAATGCAAGATCGTGTTTGCATTTCTTACAGAACTGCACGGGAACAGATAATCTTTATTTATAGACAATAAAAAAGGTTGATTGTATCATGTTTCGCTTAAATTTTCATAGAAAATACTGAAAGCGTACACCACTGTATACGTTTTTTAAGCATTATAAACTTGGTTAACATAATTATCTAAAACTCCTTGTAAATTATAAATTAAACCCAATTTTACTTGAAAACACTGATGTCAATATTCCGATCGGCATGATAAATGTATATATAATTAATAAGTGTAAATACATGCAAGAACTTTTCCATTCCCAGCTGCTGACCTTCAATAAGTAAATGTAGGCCGGCAGTGGCAGATTTAGAAGTATTTTGTCATAGACTATATAAAACACATCCTATTATGCGATAAAACACAAGAATCCTTTCTGACATAATTAATTTTGTCAAATAAAAATCTGCAACAAGACAGTGACAAGGATAACAAGTTTTGAGAAGAAATATTCAAATGGTGTCTGCTATACATGTAATCCAAGCTTCCAATCTAACCCCCCCCCCCCCCAAAAAAAAAAAAAACAAACAAACAAACAAACAAACAAACAAACAAAAACGTTAGCTATTGTCTTTTGACATTCATGAATCCCAGACATATATAAATTGAAAACGAATAAAACATGCTTAAAAAGCTGATTATTTTCAATAAAAATGTTAAAAATAATCTTTTCTTAAAGTCAAATAAAGTCAATGTCCACAATGAAGGAGACGCGCGTTTTAATTGGAGGTACATGTAGTGTTAAATGTAAATTGATTGTCTGAACCATCTCAACTTATGTCGTTAAATTACTTTTTCACGCTGTAAATATTGGTTGAATATTTATCATAGTTGCGAAGACTGAAGAAATTGTTTCAGGTACATATTTTCAACATGATTGCTCTTTGTGACGTCATTTTTTTCAATGCATTGCGTCACTAATTTACATGTAATGTCCCATAGTAAATTTCACTGAGAAAGGTTCATATGGTTTTCATTTACATAAATAATTGTATTAAATTAATTTTTTCAAATGCAGAATTGAATTTAAAAAACAATAAAAAAATAATAAAGCCTTCAGATATAGAATTAAACAATTAATTTCTTTAAAAATATAGATTTTATTGTGGAGAAAAGGTGACGTCTATTAAAAAATGCAGCGTTTTTTACTTCAGTTTTTTGTAAAAACGGATGTGGCCGCACTTTTGTAAGGTTATTTTTTCTCTTTAATATTAAAAATCGTAGTGTATTTGTTCTTTCTGCAAAGTTTCGCATACATACTCGGATGCGGCCATATCGAAATATAGACTTGAAGAGGAGGAAAACGTCCAAAATAGGGGAATTCCGGAATATTAGACCGGTTTTGAACGTTATATAAATAAAAGGGCACGTGAGTTGAGAAAAATTTATTCCTATTTCACACACAGGTAAACCTTAACAGTTAATTGATACAATTGATAGAATGTAATCGTGCGTTTAATTTTTGCTGATTTTACAGGGCCGTAAATCGGTCTTAACGTACCCAGCTCTTTCTCAGTGAGGATCAGCACCATCATTGAAAACTTCTGTAGTGCACTGAGTACGGTGATATCATGCAAAATGGCATTGGTCTGGTTTTTCGGCTTTTCGTGCCCTCTGCATAGCCTGGTTCCCCCGCCCCCACCACTGCACTCTGGGAGTGAAAAAGCAGTGCGCAAGGGGGGGGGGGGGGACTAGCCCTCTGCATCACTCTGAAAAGAATGCATATCAATGGAAAGCATTAAGGGTTGAGTGCTTTTGTTTTTGTCATCGTCTTCCAGTGTACACAAAGAACCATTCAGAGTGTTTGGGCATGTAGGTAAGTCTGAATCTTCATCTTCTGCATCGCTTTTACCATACGTTGACTTTATTTCAAATTGTTCTTTTCTGGATTTTTTACACCTTCTGAAGAGAAAGACCAACATTACAGACATCAACAAGACAGAGATTATGCATACTGGTACAACAATTGGTATCCAGTTAAATTCTGACACCTCGATAAACGTCTGCGGGACTCCGGGTTCGTGGGAAGCATATTTTGAAACATTTGTCGGTAGCATGGTTACATTCTGGAGAAGGATGTTCAGTAGTTCTTTAGAACCCTTCACTATAGTGGGAGTCTGTAACTGTGGGGTTGTAGTGATGGATTTTGTGGGGATTCCTACGATATTCATACTTGCAGAAACTTTCTTCTCCTGAAAAAATGTTTGAGTCTCTTTAAGCACTCATGGTTAGGATAGCTAGCTAGTATGTATGAATTATCTTTAAAAGGCTGTATAGACACTAAATTGAAATTTTATTATTTCTTTCAAAATTTTGGATAGAATAGTCCGTTTGCCAATTATCTTTCCCTTGCATTGAACAAGCATTTAGAGTTATCGTTCTTAAAACACAGAAGAGTTCCACCGGACAAACAAACGTGGTTTCGCTTGACAGAACATACTAATCGATTGAAATGTCACTGTGTTTAAATACCTGTCGTTTACCTGAGTTGCAAGATTATTTGCGAGCAAGGGGCGTTACGGTGTCGGGCTATAACAAACGCACCTTGAGGGAGATCGCAATCGCTGTTAAACAGCTGGATTTACCTGTTGACCCAGATTTTCGTAGAGATTCTGTTTATAATGACATACAATCAAAACTGAAGAAAGCCGGCCTTCCAAATGAAGATCCTTTAAAAATGGATGGGTATACGTCAGATTTTGCGCATATTCCAGATTTCGGACTCATAGATGTTTTTAATTATTTAATATTTAACAAATCTGATTACGATGGACGAAAACTGAAGGGTTACAAATCCTTTGAGGACTACCGATTATTTTATGACGGACATGTAGAGAGTCTGTTGTTTAACCCGCTTCAGGAAACTGATAAAATTTGTCTTTTCAAAGCTAAAGTGAAACCAACACAGAGAGATAAAACATATCTCAATAAAGATTTTTATTCATTGTGGTTTTCACTTGATAAAGAAGATGGTGATGTTATCACAGGGCATTGTGAGTGTTTGGGAGGGTAAGTTAATATACATATATTTGGAGTTCTCATACTTATGTATTAAACTAATATTAAAATTATGATAAACTTAATGAATTCTATTTATAATATTATACATTAATTTTGTAGGTCAGATGGGGCATGCAGACACCTAGCTGCAGCTCTTTATGAGTTGGAGGCATTTCAGGCCAAGTCATGCACTGATGGGGAAAACCAGTGGAAAAAAAGAGCTCGTAAGCATGACATCTCCTTGCCAGTAAGACATCTTACTGTTACGAAAGCCAGGTATGTTTGTGAAGAAGAGCAACATGTACCAGGGAAACCCCACATTGATTTGTTTGACCCAAGGCCATTGGACAAACAATGCAAGATCAAGAAAAGAGGGAATTTGGCCTTAAATTACAAGAGGTATCATATATATATATATATATATATATATATATATATATATATATATATATATATATTGTACAGTAACAGAACTTGTTCAACTTGTTAATAAGTAATAAAAAAAATTACTTCCAATTAAATCATTTCCTTGCAATCTGTTTTTCCCCCAACATAATATACAACGTGTACATTTTAGATAGCTGCAAATGCCCAGGCTCTTGATATTTTGATTAACCCTGAGGATTTTCCAAACAAAAGTCATCCTGATCCAAAATTGCAAGACCTCGATCAACTATCTATTTCTTACAAAGCAAAGAAATTCATGGAAAGCCATGCTGGAAACATGGACGTTGAAGATTTTTATAATTCCATCAACTATTCCAAAGAAGATATATCCAACATTAATGAATATACCCAAGGACAAGCTACAAATGAAGCATGGTATGAGATGAGGGTTGGTCTTTTAACAGCTTCAAACTTTAAACAAGCCAACAAGTATATCGATGACAAAAAAGAACCATCAAAATCATTTATGAGAAGCTTGATGGGTGAAAATCGAATAGAAGATCACGCCTTACCCGCGCCATTAAAATGGGGAAGGGAAAAGGAAAATGTGGCCCGTGACATGTACTTCAGATTACGGCGTCGCCAACACAGATGCCTGAGAGTAAAAGAAAATGGGCTTCTTATAAGTGAAGAGTTTCCAGTACTTGGATGCAGTGTTGATGGCATATGCACATGTAAATGCATTCCTCCTCACCCACCAAAAATAGTTGAAATAAAATGCCCTTATTCTATGCGTAATGAAAAGCCAAAGGATGTGGCAGTCAAGTCAAAATGTATTTATGACAAAAGCTCTGGGACTTGGATTGTAACTCCAGATTCAGCATATTATGCACAAATACAGGGACAGTTAGGTCTTTATGGTTATGAAAATGCTGATCTGGTTATATACACACAGAAAGGAATTCATGTCTCTCATGTTCATTTTGATAAAAAATTTTTCTCTAGTATGGCACAGAAACTTGTATTGTTTCACAAGATGTATGTTCTTCCTGTGCTGTTAAAACAATAACAAATATATTTTCCTTGTATATTATTTTATATATTTTTCATCTTAATACATAATTTTTTCAGTTTTTCATTTATTATATTGTCAGATACCTGGTATTTGAGCAAATAATTATATACTTTAAAATGTAAGATTGAATTGATGATAGACTTAACAGTTGAACTCTGCTTGCATTAATTCATTTGCAATTATACATGAATGTATGAAATAATGAAATATAAAGATTACTTAAGAGTTGATCAATACAATTGTACATATTTCATAAATTATATGATCATTAAATCATGTTGATTTTATAATTACTAAACATGCTTCAGATTGATTTTACATTTCATTTGACTAACTTTGAATCTAAATTGCAAATACAGGCACAAACACCCAAAACTTGATCAAATAAAGGATGTAGTCTTAAAGGCATAGTTCTTTGTAAAATTTTAAATGTTTTTAACCTTCCAATGGCACGCTCCACATGAATCCGGGCACTTGCAATCCGTCTTGTCTTTGTCACTGCTCTACTGCTCAACTGTCTACCCATAGAGTAAGGCGGTATATTCAGAGTACATGATCTTCTGGCTAAGAGATCTCGTATTAAAAATCCACGGTCAGCCATAATATCATCTCCATGTTCTAAATATTCAAGATAACCACTTTCCTCAACAATACGTCGGTCTGAAATACTACCAGTGAAAAGTTTAGAAATGAAAGTAAATGATCCTGTGGGAGAAATGGAGATAAGTGCCTTCAGGGTATTGTGGTGTTTATAATTAGACCAGGTTACTCTCTGAGAGGATGGTAAACTTGGTTTCTGAATAAAAAATTCTGTACAGTCTATAATTGATCTGGTCTTTGGGAAATATTTGAATGCTTTTGGTAAGTTAGCTGTTATCTGCTCTTTATTTGGCCATGAAATTAAAAAATTCAACTCCAGATACAAAAAATTTATCCATGTTGTGAAAATCCGACTGATACTCGATGGATGAATACCAACTAAATCACCCAACACTTCTACATCTAACCCACGTTTAAGACGAACCAAAGTGATCACAAATTCTTCTCTCAGTGAAAGTTTCCTCTTTGGACCAGCTTTCCGAGCCAACAAAATTGGATTAAATAGAATAAAAAATACCCAGTACTTATATTTTTATATAAATTGAAATACATTTATAGTTACTTATAACGTATGGAAAAGCATAATTAAATCGATTTTTTAAGGGGGGGGGACTCACTCCTTTGAAATCTGTTGTATCCTGTCCCCTCCAGTAGTTCAGCTTTTCTGCTTTTGGTCTAATCCATTGAAATAAGAACAGGAAGATGGACAGATTTAAGCCTGTAATTGAATTTAAAAGAAAAAAACTTGCATGTGATCATAATTTATATGCACCCAAATTTTGTGCTATTTTCCTTAATTTTAAAACATGCAGTGGCACATACATGTACCTGTGTAAAATTTGCAGCTGTTGCTATCCTGCAGTACTGATGACAGAAACAACTTTCTACTCATTTGGTTTCTGTCCATCAATTCCTCGTCAGCATATTTGTGAATATGTTGGAAATGCACACATGTCTGGGTTCCAACATCCGACATTGAAACACATGTTGTCTGAACAAGAGCGTCAGTAGAAGTTGTGGTGGTAACTTCTTCTTCCCCTATAATATCATTTAAAAAAAAATTTATTTACACTTATTTCGAAATATGTTGAGAAAAAAATTTGTCATCTTATTGTATATTTAAATGTTACCTGCTAGACATGGAACTTCACTGGCTGCATCAAACCAAATCTCCTCAACCTCAGGTGCCTGAACATAACTTGTAGATTCAAATATTTCATGTCCATGTTCAACACTAGTGCTACTGGAAGTTAAGCAGGTATAATCATGCTCATTTGAAACGGTCTCTAAAATGAATGATTCAATGCATGAATCAGCGCTGTCTTGAGATTCGTCCTCGTCATTAATCAAACACTTTCTAGGGCGCTTCTTAGGTGACGGTCTTGAGGTTGGTGGTTTTCGTTTTTTCTTTGCCGACAGCAAATTTCTCTCAAATTCTGTACTTACTGCTGGTAGCGGGTCTGGATGTGAATCCGAAGGCCCATTTCCTCCGACGAAGTGCTTTGAGCAAATATAGGTCTCTTTCCGAATGCTCTCAACAGTGAAGTGTTTCCTTCCGCACAGCCTGACCCAACGTTGACATTTTTCAAGCTGCGTTTTCGGTTTCGGGAAGGGAATAAACTTTACACCATCCATGTTTGACTTCCGTCCGATATATCTCGAGTCGCTATTACAATCGCCATAACAGCAATGTTTTACGGGCATTATTATACGTCGCAGAACACGTGAAAACAATGAACTGTGTCAAGCTTGTTAGTTGTTTGTCCGGTGTTGAACCTACTTCCGCTTTATCGCTTATGTGCTAGAACAAAAAGCCCCCTATGCGCTAGGTAATATGCAATTAAGCTATTGCATGACTTTTAATTAAGACAGTTGGCTGATACTTTGTCTTTCCCACGTTTTCCGCTAAAAATAGATGCACGAAAACCCAGTTCTATTTATAGTTTGTTTTCACGTGGAATATCAAAAACATTCATGATCAAGTACATTATTATATAATAAAGAAAATCTTGATAAAATAGAAAAATATCGAGCATATAAATGATATATTATAAATGATATATTACTAGCATAAAACCATCCTTGGGACTGTGCAAAATGAAACACAAGCATTACATGACTATATACCGTATAACAGGAATTAAATATATATATCAACAAAGAGTTTTAAACAATTGAATGTACAAAAATAAAAACTTACAATGTGAATTGACAAATCCTAGCTATTCCACAGCAAAACTTCTTAAGTCCCTTAATTCAGTAACGTAGTTGCACACAAGTTTTCTTGAAATACTCATGTATTTACCATGTGTTTACTGCATGGTCTTGATGATCGTCTTTACACATGTTACAACCAACGACTTATATTTTTAGATATTACTGAATATCAATATGTAGGTGCGGATCCAGACAGGTTGCGCTCCAGGAACTAATTCATCTCTAATGTAGATTAAGAAGAGTCCAATCAAATTATTAGAAACCTTAAACAAATTGCAACAGAATTTATTTTCCTTCATATTGAATTTTTTTTTAAAAATGACTTTCAAGTCTGTGGGATGGGACGTACGTTAAAAAAGAAATGATCGTTAGAAAAAAGAAGGCTTAAGGGTGTAATATTGTTGCCAAATGATAAAACGGTTTTAAAGTTCAGAATTTATTGTAAGTCCAAAAATATTAATTTCACAAATGCATTTTAGAAACAAACTGATTTCGTAGATGGAACAAACTGAATTTTACAAAGAATTTTCATAGATTGACTCACATACAAACTCACTCACATCTAAGCTTTGACAACTCCGCCCACTTTCTTTCTGTCCAGCCAATTAACTTAAGGATAAGGAAGTAGCATGAACAGGGGGAATCCGTATGACATTAATTTACAAGACTGAAATTAGGTAGAGCTAAGCATAACAAATTCAAAGAACACAATCCTAAGATGTAACCATAAAGTTGATAACACGTATGAGTAAATGACATTGATATCGTGAGACAGGAAAGAGATGTCAAGAATTAGATATTGCTACCATGTGCAAAAATGCCCTTTCTAAACATCAAATAGAAACAATTAACCTTCAACTACAGATGTCAAACAAGACCGAAAATTAATAGAACAAATATATAGAAATAGATTGATAATTAATTATTTGTCATTTATAAACCCACATAACACATAATGATAACAAGGGGGGGGGGGCAAAAAAAACCCCCTAAAACATTATAAAAACCGGTCGTATGAACTAAATTGAATCGCCGATACTGTACGTTTAGATGAATGTGGATCAAGTGCTGCTGGCTCGGGGTTAAACAAAATACAATCATTTCAGTCAGTCGATATAGTGTATTACAGGCGCGGATCCAGGAATTTTTCCAGGAGGGGGAAGGGGTCCACCCTAGTGAAGAAAAAATTCCCAACCCAAAAATTTCTTGACAAGCAAAAAAATGAAAATATGTATAAAAACCCCCTAAATTCCTTTCCCAAACGTATTAAACCCAGAAATTGTCAAGCAAAAAAAAAAAAAAAAAAAAAAAGTTAAACTCCATTTCCCAAAAGTGAAAACCTATTTCGTGGTGGTCCACGTTTTCTAAAGGGGGGGGGGGGTTCCAAAGTCATTTTTTATTTCATTCGGTATATACTTTTGATAACTCTGCAAATTCCAGGGGGGTCCTGCCCCCCCCCCCCCTCTAGATTCGCGCATGTAGTAAATTTAATATCAAACCAAAACTATGAAATAATGATCTTTCCGACTAAATGGCATTTCCTCGTATCTTTAAATAGTTCTGCCATGTGGTACTAGTGACATGAATTTCTTGTATACAAGTCTGTCGCATTAATATCGAATTCATATCCATCGGATAATGTACAGTAAATTTTAACATATCCCCCCCCCCCCCCCCCAAAAAAAAAAACCCATACATTTTCTATGGATTAAGCACACAGGCATTGTTTCTTAAATAATTTTTTTTTACCAATATTATAATAATAACACAAAAATTATTAAAGAAATAAGTGCCTGTGGGTTAGCATGGTGGTTTGCTTTTAATTAGTTAACGAAAGGATATTTAACCATGCAGCATGGAATACTCTGTTTACAAAATTATTGCTGTTTTTGAGGTTAATACGATGAATTATAGCCAAATAAGGAGTACAAAATTCACCGAGCCCGAAGGGTGAGATGAATGTTGTACTTTGAAGGTAGCTATACATCATCGTATTTACTTTTAACTGAAAAAATAGAATAATTGTTTTTAATATTTAAGAGATGAATTTAATTTTTGAGAATTCAGGAGGACGTGAACTACGACGCTTCACGCCTGCATATTCTCTTCATGATAAATATGCAGGCGTGAAACGTTGTAGTTCATGTACCTCATGAATTCTTTAAAAAAAATTAAATTCATATCATATATTTACATTATTTTTCTGATGACTTGCCACATATTTTTGTCATTCAACGATCATTCTTGAAAAAAAAAATGCACTATTTTTTTTTTTACTTCAATCACATCACAATGGAAATATTCCTACTCGTCCCACGGTAGTTCATGAGAACATGAACTTTTTCGAATTTGCAAAGAATCTTAAGGAAAAATATTTTGGAAATGTAAATATGTATCAGTACATGATTCAATGATACAAACTCAACAAGATGCCCATGCAATCTTACGTTTTTACATCTCACATAACTATTTAAATTTGCTGTTCAGTCCTAACCAACCGCAATGAGAGAATTAAGCGGGGTTAAAATAAGCAGAGAAAGCTGTATTGATTTGGAATTTTAAAATTTATTTTTGGTGCGATGAAGAAAAAAATATGTATATAAGATATATTTAAAAGGAGGGGGATTATCAGGAAAAATTGACAAATTACCTGAAAAAAACCTTTGACTAGCCCCAAAAACCAATAATATTTTTTTGAAGACTGTTTATTTTCTCTTGCCAGGAACTCTTCGTTTACATATATGATTGACAATGACATATCAAGAGATGTCAATATTGTATTGTCTGGTTATGATTGTCTATCTCTTAGAGAAAATATGTTATTCTTTGACCAAGTTCATAATTTTATTTAAAAAAACACTAAAAGATTATAGAGTGTGAAAATGTAATAAGTATTAATGTGCACCATGAAGACTGAAAGTACATGTACAGATATGGTTCTGAGCCTTCTTTCCTCCCCTTTCATTTCCCCCCTTTTTATTGTTCATTTCCATCTCTTTTTTTATACCCTGTAACCTCTTTAAAAATCAGTTTAAAATACAAGTCTTTGTAAAATTTTAATATATACCTTTGTTACATTTGTACCTTGATCTCTATGATCTCTAATGGAGGGAACTAATGTATACAGGCCATTTTTGCCTGCTTTCAATCCACGTTCATTGTACTTACTTCTATGTATATCATGAATATATAAAATAATTCTTAAGTTAAAACCAATATCAAAATTTGGGGGGGGGGGGTTGGGGTTGGGGTTGGTTAAGGTCCATTAAGGGGGGAGCCATTCAATGAAGATTTTATCCTAAAGTTTATAATATGTGTCTGAATGTTATGTTCACCTGAGTGGAAGTCGGGTGCAAGTGAAATAACTTTCAAAAAACTATCTGCATCAATTTGGAATTTTTTAGCCCAATGTAGAAAACTTAAATCCTTGTGTTAACCTGCAAGGTCTTGTGCAGGTGAAAATAACGTAGAATTTCTTCTAAAATGTAGGATTTCTGCCAATCAGAGAGATGGGAATTATTGAATCAAATAGAAGTGTTTCTGTTGAAATGTTTCTTTTTATGAAAAAAATGGAATATGCGTATAAGTTAAATCCGTTTTATAAATACCATTATTTGATAATCATTTCATGAATCCATTCATCGAATTTAGTTATGAGGGGTGAGGTGGGGGTCGGCTCTTGATAAAAACTATAATATGTAAATTTAGATTTTTGTCAGGCATTGTATTTTGGTCTCACCCATCATCAGTTTTGTTTTCTCACAATTAAAACTTTTAAAATTACGTCCACAAAAGTCAATAAAACCCTGGCGCACTTATTTAGGTAGTTTAATTAGTCAATATTAGTTAAATATCCTAAACTGGAAGAACAGTGCCTCTGTGTACATATAAAGTAAACAAAGTTTTTATCGACTTTCTCCGTCATTAAGTTCTTGTTCTTCCATAATGTCGATATGCCCCGTCCCTACGGCCATATCAAATGGATATTACGTCGGAGCTAAGGTGTCGTATGCCGCGGGTGACGTCATACAGTACATCTGTAACAACGATTATGTTATGTCCGGAAGTCCTAACGCCGTCTGTGACGCCACTGGAGTCTGGCTCCCGGTCTCTGGGTCTGTACCGGAATGTAGTTCATCATACCTCAAAGACGGTACGTTTTCCTGACTTTTCATTTACTATAATACCTCAAAGACGGTAGGTGTCCTACCTCAAAGACGGTAAGTGTCCTGACTTTTCTTTTACTATACCTCAAAGACGTTAAGTTAATCTCACTTTTCTTTTACAATACCTCAACTAGAGTCGGTAGGTTTGCCTGACTTTTCCTTACTATTTGCATAAAGGGATTAGAAACAGGTCAAATTTAGGAACTGATCAAATGACTGTTCAGTCTAATTGTAAGACAAACAAGTTGGAGAAAGATAACAGAAGTACAGTTTAATTAAAAAAAACCAAAAGATTGTTTCAATGTTAATTTCATATGTGGATAAAAAAGGATCCAATTAGCATATTGAGCTTGAGGTTCCAGTTTATTTCGTGAAACAGGAGTTTACTGGATGGTGATATGTGCAACGTAAGCCCAATGTATTTATCAATTTAAGTAGACGGAACATTAATTCCATTGTCAAGGATAGTACATGTATATGAAAACAAGGACCTAAAAATTAATATGAAGCAAAGCAGCCCAAATACGACCCAATTTTAGGTTATATTTGCTAACAAGGTTGTTGAAATCCCTGTAACATCAACTTACCTGTGGGTAGCCTGGGACGGTTTAAAAATTGATGGTTCTCAGAGCATATGCTCTTGAGTAGCGAGTTTGTTTGGAGACATAAACACCATATACAGATCTAGAATACCGGTATTAATTACTACATAAATAAGGACGATGGGAATTAAAGCTGCAGTCATCTCGTCATATTTAGTTGTTAGTTGGCCCTTATCGTGTATAGTAAGTAAAACATCCAAATATGAAACAGATGTGGCAGACTTTGATGTGGTGTCCTTCATTTCAAGTTCACTAGGGTATATCGCGTCGACATAATTATGAATGGAAATAAATACACGTATTACGTCGTCGACACATCTGAATGTAGAGTTGAAGGACGGCAAGTGTTTTTTTTCTCATATAGAAGTTTCTTAATGAATTCTTCATATGGATATTAACATAGCTTGGCTAATAAAGGGACACAATTAGTGCCCTAGGGAATTTGATCCAACAATTTGTTGGAGGACTTGGTCTTCGATGGCAACATAAATGTTGTCAGAGAGGAATTCCAGCATATTTAATACCAACTTCAGAGTACTTGTGTATAGAATCAGGATAGGTTTTTAACGAAGTAATTATGTCGATGACCAATCACAAGAGGTGAACAATTCTGAGTTCCAGTTTTTACTGAAGAAGGCTTCAAGAAACATTCGTCTATGATATCAAAATGGCTAGTTTTTAAGTTATCGTGGGAATGGTTGTATAAAGTGTAGACAAGTCGTACGTTTCGATTTTGATGTTATTGACTTTTGAAAAAAATGGTGATTGATTTGAAATGTTCTTTAGTTTCTGAGGATCAACATCTGATTTTCATTACTTCTAGAATATGCCTTAGCACTAAGTATGCCTGAAGTGTTTCCTTTACAGCAGTTAATATTTTGTAATGAGTAAAGATGGGGTTGGAAGAGCATTTGCTGAATCCGACAATGTACATCTATGTTTGTAAGAACTTTTATAAACTTTAGGAATCATATAGGTAGGGTATAGATCGAACTCACCTTGGTTGACCAGAATGCTAAAAGTATTAAACACTGAAATGCAATTTTGAAGAATTTCATCCTTGGAGAGTGAACTGTGAGTATAATTATGTAGGATTTTGAGACGTAGAATGAAAATAAAGTTCTTCCATTCCAAGTTATAATAAATTAATGAACCTTACAAGCTACAAACAAAGACTATATTTTTACATGCTTTGTAATCTTATCAGTTCTTTTATCCCATCTGATTTCGAGAAACAGGATATGTACTAGATGGTTCTGAATTTGCCTTCTATTTTTCTAATACGATTCTTTTAATTTATTTCTGCAACACAATATATCCTTTTCATATGTAGCCCAACGTTTGGCATAATCCTCGAGAGGATAATAGAAAATATTTAAAAATGATTATTTTATACCAGTCTGGTTCATACTGGTGCTATCGTTATTTTTATTCCAGTCTGGTTCATACTGGTTCTATCGTTGTTGGGGTTCATCGCCATAGTGATCATTCTGCTCCTGCTGATTCTCTGTTGCAGATTTTGTTGGTAAGTAAAGCTTCTACGATCGTTACGAATAACCCAGCACTAACGATAAATAAGCTAAGGCGCTTAGACGTAGACCCATTAATGTTATTGTCGGGTATTATTTAAACATTTGATCAATATTTCAATGAGAATTTGTTTTTATTTCATGTTTTGTAAATATTTTGTACTCTGCAGTATTCGAAATCGTGTCGATGATGAAGAGAGTGAGGCGGGCGGAAGAGGATGCTGCCCGTGCTGCAGATCGTCGTCAGAGGAAGAGGAAGAAGAAAAGCCAAAACCGCGGATGAAACCTCTCACAACAGCAAAGAAATCTCCGAATAATAAAATAAATAAACCCGTCACGAAAAATAAAATAACGAAAAAGAAAGTTGTGTCTAAAAAAGGGAAAATAATGAGGTCAAAGAAAGGGGTAAAAACTCTTAAGAAGGGGAAAGAAAAAGCTACAGTGAAAACAAAGGAAGACAGACCACTTAACTCCCGTGAAGCAAAGAGCGTTACGGAGTGGAAGCCATTTGCTAAACCCGTGAGAAATATAAACACAAGTACCAAATAGGACTCACCAATAGTGTTATTCTTTTTTATGCCCCCGTAATCGAGGATTCGGGGGCATATTAATAGTTTTTGCCCTGTCTGTCTGTCCGCAAAATTTTAACCTTGCCCAAAACTTTTGATTGGGTCTATGGCTTTCATATTTCACATGTGTATTTCTTGTGACAAGACCTTTCTTTGGGTACCGACAAATTTGACCTTGACCTTGGAGTTTGACCCACTTTTGCAAAATTTTACCAAACTTGAATCTTGGCCATAACTTTTGAACAGTTGTTGCTAGGGCTTTCATAATTCACATGTGTATTTCTTGTGATCAGACCTTCCCTGGGATACAACAATTTTTGACCTTGGAGTTTGACCTCCTTTTGAAAAACTTTAACTTTGGCCATAACTTTTGAACAATTGGTGCAAGTGTTTTCATATTTCACATGTACATATTCCCTGTGGCAAGACCTTCCTTTAGGTATCAACAATTTTGACCTTGACCTTCGAGTTTGACCTACTTTTGGAAAACATTATCCTTGGCCATAACTTTTGAACAGTTCACTGTTGGTGCTAGGGCTATAATATTTCATATGTGTATTCCTTGTGGCAAGACCTTCGTTTAGGTATCAAGAATTTTTTTTACCTTTGAGTTAACCTACTAATGAAAAAAAAAACTTTAATCTTGGCCATAACTTTTGAACAGTTGGTGCAAGGGCTTTCCTATTTCATATTGTATATTCCTTGTGGCAAGACCTTTCTTTAAGTATCAACAATTTTTACCTTTTGACCTTGACCTTTGAGTGAGACCCACTTTTAGAAAACTTTAACCTTGTTCATACCTTTTGCACAGTTGGTGCTAGGGCTTTCATATTTCACATGTGTATTTCTTGTGACAAGTCCTTCCCTAAGGTACCAAAAGTTTTTACCTTTTGTCCTTGATCTTGGAGTTTGACCTACTTTTGAAAAACTTTAACCTTGGCCAAAAACTTTTGAATGGTTGGTGTAGGGCTTTCATATTTCACATGTATACAGATTTTCTGACGTTAGCATAAATTTGCATGTAAATTAGCTATCTGTTTACTTTACAGACTGTTGAATGAGTCGCAATGCATTATGGGCTACTACAAGTATCAATACGAACTCAGTTGTGTTGAAAATAAAGGGCTTGCCAACTTGAATTGTCCCTTGGAAACTCATTTTTAATTCTTTTTTGATATTTATGAAAGAAATATTGAAAATGATGTATAATCTTTCATCTCTATGCTCACATTTACAAAGTTTGCTTTATGAAGCCTTATATCAGCTTGTAATACATCGACGTAAACCATTGTTCAAAGAGACGTAGGTGCTATTGTGTCGATAAGTGTGTTTTTTTTTACGTGATATAAATGAACATAGTTTTAGACAGCAGTACAAGGTGCGCAATTAATATTTAACTCCTCAATACCAACAAAATGTTTTATGCACACGCAAACAGACTGGCAAACGTCAAAGCGTTTGTACAGTATTTGAAGCAACTATATTAATCATCTAATACAACTCAAATATCAAATGTGAGCACGGAACAGTGTCTTTCGAATATAATCTTTCAATTTCAGCTTTATAAATTAAAAAAGAAGCTGTACAGTTTTTCCGGTGATCAAGTAAATATTTTGCAGTAAACCGACGAAAACCGCATGTCGCTATTGAATCGATCGTCATGCTTTGCGACTCATTCAATTGATTGGAGAATGGGTTTGACGAAAACATCGTCATATGTTGAAAAGTGCCTTCCATAAAAGGTAGTGTACCCGACCTGTGCATATTCCTCGAGAGTAGATCTTCCCGTGTGCACTATTAATTTTGACTTTTGACCTTGGAGTTTGACCTATTTTGAAAATCTTTAACCTTGGCCATAACTTTTGAATGGTTGGTGCTAGGGCTTTCATCTTTCACATGTGTATTCCATGTGACAAAACCTTTCTTTGGGTACCAACATTTTTTTGATCTCTTGACCTTGGAGTTTGATTTGCATTTGAGAAAATTTAACCCTCGCCACGGGATGCCATACGGGGGCATCAGTGTTTCACAAACACATCTTGCTTTTTAAATCTAGACAGGCTTTTAACAACAACTGATAAGAGTGTACCTGACATCTTTTAGTATAATTAATTGAAAGTTAAACGCATACTCATTTATGAGTCACAGATTTGTGGTTGAAGCCCACTTTTTACCTCTAGGAACAATGTTGAAAAATATTAAGTCCCGATTTCAACAAATGTAAAGGCAAAATGTAGTCATCCACAAGAGACAAACATACAACATCCACTGTTTACCACATTGTTATGTTAAAGGTGAACGCTGCTAATGTACCCATCATAATTAACAAGTAAAGCTGAAGGATAAACAACATCCAATATAAAGCACCTGTTGCTTACAAGCAACAGCAAAATGATGTTGACTCTGTGATACAGACTAGAACAGTCTTTCTTTGTAGCTATTGGTTGTTAGCTTTAGGTCCCTTTAATAATTTTTCACTCATGTTGGTCCCTTAGCAGCTATAATAATAAATATAAAAATTGTTTTACATTTGTATGATTCACTATTGTAAACTTTATATCTGTAAAAGATTTTTTTTTAGGGAAAGACAGTATTAGGGGAAAAAGCCAACACAAAACTTTTGTGCCAAAATACAAACAGTGTACCTGAGTGTAATGTAAAATTACCTGTATATTATTTAAAGACAACATAATAATATTGACACCAGATACTTATAAGAATTTAATGAATAAAACAAAATTAATTTTGGTGCAGTCTCTTGTGAGTCTTAAGATGACAATGTTATACAAACACAATGATGATAATGATGACGACACAGAGAGAGATGAAAATGCATTGTTAGGGCTGTTCCCGATTCCTGCGTAAGATTTCCCCAGGACTGGGGTAGGGGCGCTGCTGGAACAGTGGGCCTGAGGCAGTGGTATCTGCTCCCGTCTTTGCCTCTCCACGAGATGCCAGACCTGTTGACCATGTCCCTCTGTATAGTAAATGAAAACAGTAATGAAATATTTATCAAAAACAACAAATTAAAGAAGACATACCTGTCCAGATCTTCTGCGAAAAAAACGGTTAAGTTTTGTATCTCAAACACTGATATCTTGAATACCATGGATATGTCGAAGTGATTTGGAAGTCCAAGCCCTTTATCAAGTATTTTATCCTGGATATCTTGAATCCTCGAATATCTCAAATTTTTTTTCTCAGTCCCATCAAATTTCAGATAACAAGGATTGACTGTACTTATTGTTTTGTGAAATATACGTGCAACTTAAGCTTCTAGTACAGTTTGGTCAAATTTAAAATTATGTTTAATGTTTGTTTCCTAGAATACACTCCACACTTGTACTTATTTAGCAATTACTGAACAAGGTCTGTTTTGCAATACCACAGGAGAAGGTAAAGAGAGATTTTGTTATGAGGATTATATTCACCTTGGGACCTCCGAGTAAGAAGCTGGATCCATGGGATCTAACTCATCCTTCTGTCGTTTTCCTCCTCTTCGTCTGTTGTCAGAGTGACGCCGCCCCCGGTCTCTGCGGCGTTTTTCGTACTCGTCCTCCGAGTCTGAGGAGCTGGAGGAGGACGAGGAACTCTGTAAGGAAGAATAATGTATGCCAATAAACAGCAGGAAAATGTAGAAAAAACATTTTCAAGTGGGGATTTTCTGTTTTATACATGAACATTGCATTAAACTCTGTTTAAAAAAAAAAGAACTTCTTCAGTTTGTTACACTGTAAGTACTAAAAGGCATACAAGCTTAATCATAATTAAGCTGTCATTTTTTTTTAGCTATAATTAAGAACATATTTAATTCCATGTACAATAGTTCACCTACCATATCACTCTCATCAGAGCCCTTGGTTTCCATCTCTTCATCACTGCCCTCCACTTCTTTGTTTGCCAGATGTTGGTCTCCAAGGAGATCTGTAAACAACATTTACACTACTTCAATAAGTTCATAGAAAATTTCTTCAAAGTAATTCACTTGTTAACAAAATTGTGGCATGACAGAACAGTAATTTGGTCGCCCGCGTGGCACAGTGGTTAGAGTGTTTGCTCTAGAGTCGCCGAGTAAGTTGATCCTTACGTCGCGGGTTCAAATCCCACTGTGGGATGTGGAGACCAGTCCTTCGGATGAGACTGTATAAACTGAGGTCCCGTGTCGCAGTAGGTGCTGGCATGAAAAAGATCCCTCACTGCTCAATGGCCGTAAGCGACGAGTAAAGGTAAAAATTTGCAGCTCTCCACCGGCAAGTGGTGGCGTCTCCACATGATTGAAAAATTCTAGAGAGGGACGTTAAACAAAAAACAAACAAACAAACAGTAATTTGTAAACTGTAACCACTTACCCTGAATTCTCTGGGCGGAGATTGTGATGTGGGCCCGGGGGTGGACAGGTGACAACCAGCTCACCTGGTCGGTAATCGTGTTCCAATAATAGTAACAATTCCTAATAAAATAGAATTAAAACTGTAAATTTGAGTCAAACACTGGACTCACTGGAAGTACTTCCTAATATGATATACAATCGTATTATGATGGTGGTTGTGAAATCTTAATTATTGCTGTCCAGTTTTATACCAAATTAATTTATATTTTAATTATTTCTCAGACCAAGGACTGCATAATTCCTATATTGTCCTGTTAATACACTGGAGACATTAGAGATAATTCTAAACCTCTGAGGTTAACAATCCGGATGGCTTGTCAATAACTATGGACTCGGACTTATGTATTTAACAGTTAATATTGTGAAACAGAAATCTTCTTTTTGAGTAAAACAATGACAATAAAGAAAGATAAAGAATGTACTATTTTATTCTGAGAGAAAATGTAACTCCATTTACGTTTTATTACCGACTTTTGCCTTGTGTATCAATACTTGTACCATAGCATATAGAGTTGGTATCAGGATATATTAATGTACTGTAATTTGTAATATCCTTTCAATTTTATCATGCTAAATAAACTATTTTATTTCACATTTTAAAATATGATTTATAAAAGAAGATAACATCTTACGTAAGAGGGTCAGCTACTTCCTCCCACCCCCCTGGCAGGGGGTAACGTCGTAACATCCTATCCCTCTTCTTTATCATGCTGGGGGCGGGCTCAAACTTCTGGATCCCCCACCTCTTCTTACAGTACTCCACACAGGTGTGATATTTATTGTACCTGTTAACAACAGAACCATAAAAAAAAATACACTGCAATGTTTCACTCTAAATGTAGCACAATAATGAAAATTTTATGTTAAATTTGTCCAAGATTCTTACAGGTTCATAATTTACTCATATTAATTGATTTTTTTCAAAACTTGTTATTGCTGTTGTTTTGTAACTTTAAAAGTACATATTTCAAATTCCACCAATTTATTTATTGCTATGTAAAACTTTGATTGCCCATTGTGGCCCCACCCGACCCCCGGGGGTCATGAATTGAACAAATTTGAATCTACATTATCTGAGGATGCTTCAATTTAAATATGACCAATCATGGCTTTGCTGTTCTTGAGTAGAAGATTTTTAGATTTTTCCTATATATTCCTATGTAAAACTTTGATCGCCCATTGTGGCCCCACCCGACCCCCTGGGGTCATGATTTGAACAAACTTGAATCTACACTATCTGAGGATGCTACCATATAAATATGACCAATCATGGCTTTGCTATTCTTGAGAAGAAGATTTTTAAAGATTATTCCTATATATTCCTATGTAAAACTTTGATCGCCCATTGTGGCCCCACCCGTCCCCCGGGGGTCATGATTTGAACAATTTGAATCTACACTACCTGAGGATGCTTCCATGTAAATATGACCAATCATGGCTTTGCTGTTCTTGAGAAGAAGATTTTTAAAGATTTTTCCTATATATTCCTATGTAAAACTTTGATCGCCCATTGTGGCCCCACCCGACCCCCGGGGGTCATGATTTGAACAAACTTGAATCTACACTATCTGAGGATGCTACCATATAAATATGACCAATCATGGCTTTGCTGTTCTTGAGAAGAAGATTTTTAAAGATTCTTCCTATATATTCCTATGTAAAACTTTGATCGCCCATTGTGGCCCCACCCGACCCCCGGGGGTCATGATTTGAACAAACTTGAATCTACACTATCTGAGGATGCTACCATATAAATATGACCAATCATGGCTTTGCTGTTCTTGAGAAGAAGATTTTTTTAAAGATTTTTCCTTTATATTCCTATGTAAAACTTTGATCGCCCATTGTGGCCCCACCCAACCCCCGGGGGTCATAATTTGAACAAATTTGAATCTACACTACCTGAGGATGCTTCCATGTAAATATGACCAATCATGGCTTTGCTGTTCTTGAGAAGGAGATTTTTAAAGATTTTTCCTATATATTCCTATGTAAAACTTTGATCGCCCATTGTGGCCCCACCCGACCCCCGGGGGTCATGATTTGAACAAACTTGAATCTACACTATCTGAGGATGCTACCATATAAATATGACCAATCATGGCTTTGCTGTTCTTGAGAAGAAGATTTTTAAAGATTATTCCTATATATTCCTATGTAAAACTTTGATCGCCCATTGTGGCCCCACCCAGCCCCCGGGGGTCATGATTTGAACAAACTTGAATCTACACTATCTGAGGATGCTACCATATAAATATGACCAATCATGGCTTTGCTGTTCTTGAGAAGAAGATTTTTAAAGATTTTTCCTATATATTCCTATGTAAAACTTTGATCGCCCATTGTGGCCCCACCCGACCCCCAGGGGTCATGATTTGAACAAACTTGAATCTACACTACCTGAGGATGCTTCCACATAAGTTTCATATTTTCAAGCACAGTGGTTCTTGAGAAGAAGATTTTTTAATGATGCCATTAATTTTTCACGAATTATCTCCCCTTGGAAGAAGGCGTGGCCCTTCATTTGAACAAACTTGAATCCCCTTTACCCAAGGATACTTTGTGGCAAGTTTGGTTGAAATTGGCCCAGTGGTTCTTGAGAAGAAGATGAAAATGTGAAATTCAAAAGTTTACAACAACAACGACAACAATGACAACAACGACGACAGACAACAGACAAATTTTTATCAGAAAAGTTCACTTGAGCCTTTGGCTCAGGTGAGCTAAAAAAATGTATGTACATTCAAAACCTTTGGTTTAAAAAATTGCACTATTTAGACTCCATTATTGAAGTGAAACAATAAAATTTGATGCAACATTTGCTGCAAAACTGTAGCATTATGGTTTTATATTTTAGTCTTTGACCATAAATTATGGTCAACGACTAAAATATAAAACCATAATGCTACAGTTCTGCAGCTAATGCAACATATGATGTCACAGTCTAGATTGAGTCCTTCCCAGTGGTGAAGAGATGAATCTAAATCAAATGTGTATATATTGTAACAGGAGAGGAGAAAAAAGTGACAGACCAGACCAGGATTTAAACCCAGTCACACTGAATCTCCAGTCAGGTGCTCTACCCACTGAGCTATCTGGCCACCGGTGATCGAACCCATCTGACCTCCACAATATAAAAAGTATTTATTACATCCTATTATAAATATATACAACTGTGCTCACTCCTATGATTGCATCATAAAACAATAAAATCATAAATATATAATTATGTATTTTTCTTCTTTTTGTTGTAACTGAAATATCAGCAAATACTTCTAAAATATAATTTATGAAACGAGGGCTATGAAATAAGAATCTATAAACCACTTCACTGTATTACTCTCTAGTCACAGGCTATAATTTTTTCACAAGAGAAAAAATCTTAATCATAAACACTAATTTCTTTGTCGTTTTTCTTTTCACAAGCTGAATAAAAAGCCGACTAAAACCTCATTCACTTACCTAATCACACAAGGACAGGTCTAGGAAAATCACTATATTTAGCTATATAGCTAAATCTACCTATATAGCTTTATTTACCTATATGATATAGCTTTATTTAGCTATTTCAGAGTAAATTTCTGTTTTATGAAAAGCAGACAAAAAGTCGCATAATGAAGCAGTATTAGTTTTCAACTTTGAAATGGACTGAAAACAATTCACCAAAAACCCACTTTTAAAAATGTTTCTCCTTTTGTGCAATTGCAATCAAAGATCTAAAAGTTTTGGGGCTATGTATAACAGTTAATCTGGGAATAAGCAGCTACTTTAACAAAGAAAAGCAATTTTGGTCAACAAGATAATTGATTGGTAATAATTCAGCACAATGCAAGGCAATCACACTCAGTCAGCCTCATCGCACTTCCAGTAATGGGCAGCTATCCAAACAATAGAGATGCATTTTTTGGTTAAAAAGTGTTTAAAAGAGGCAATGTTTTTACTATCTATGCCCTAGGTTGTTTTTATCAAACCTTTTTAAAAAAATATCAGCCATAATTTTCATGCAACTTTTTGTTTGCTTTTCATAAAACAGAAACTTATTATAAAATAGCTAAATAAAGCTATATTATATAGGTAAATAAAGCTATATAGGTAAATATAGTGATTTTCCTAGACCTGAAGGACGAAGTACAGAGAGAAATAACAGAGAACAACCCCTTCAAGATTTTCATGAAAAAAAAATGTACAAAGTTTCTAAACATTGATGGGTATTCATGTATATATGGAGGAAGACCGGTAAGTATGACTGATACCTATTAGGGCAGGCTGAGACGTCGTACACCAGGGGCTTTGTCTGGTCATGTGACGTCTCCATCTCCTGCTCTGTGACCGGGGGAGCTGTGTTTTCTTTGATGGGATCATCGTAATCCTCGGCAAAAACCTCCTCTACTTCCTCAACTGAAATGTTAATATTTCACAAGATTAAAACACGGGAGCACAGTTTGACAGAGGAAATTCGAAATACTCTACTGTGCGCTTTATCTTCAGTTAAATAGAAATTATTAGCTTTTGTATGTTTTATTATAAAACATTACGCACCACGTTTACTTTGCTCCTCGGTAACAATCCCTCTTTTCTTTAGTTTTGCGAGCAAAGCCGCTGGAAGTGGCATTTTTGGAAATTTAAAATGTAAAGTCACGAAGAATTCCGATTAGCATCTGAATTCCGAATGTAATTGTCAAGTCAACACGTACCTAAACCAACTCGTAATAATGTTATAAGGAGATTGATATGGCTCTTGAATCATCAATATATTGCAGGGTTAGAAACTCCCTATAATTACAACTCGCAAATAATTGCGAGTACCAAGAAAGTGAACTCGCAATTTTAAAAGATTACTCGCAATTTTCATATAAAGTTAAATTTATATAAATTAAATACATGTAACTTTAGGAAAAAGTAACTACTGTACATTAACAAAATACAACTACAGTGTGACTTTTATTTAAATTACTGATTTAAATCAAAAGCATTGTGTTCTGTCATATTATATAATTTTGCTACAGTTTCAATGCAAAAAAATCAACTCGCAAGTTTTTGTGAGTTACCTATAATTTTTAACTCGCAATTTGTGAATTCTAACTCGCGTTTTGCGAGTTGTATACAGTGAATTTCGAACCCTGTATTGTTCACGAGGAAAAAAAATTTTTAACACAAAACGAACAAAAATAAATGATATTCTTTCGATGACAATAATGTAATTAACGGGATATTAAAAATGGTTACATCAGTGGCGGATCCAGAAGTTCATTTGGTTGGTTGGTGGGTGGGGTTGAAGCCAGGAAGGCCGAAGAGATAGAGTATGGGATGGGGTGTCGTCTACTATTGGTGAGGGTTCGAGTCCCCTCCTCCCTCAGAGGAAACTTTAAAAATAGCTTCCAATGTTTTTTTTCAGCAATTGAGATTGAATTGGTCACAACTCAACAAAGTTATTATTTTCTTTCTTGCTTTGACACTGAAGACTTCTACTGAAAATATACATATAAATTTTACCACGATTCATTATATAAAGTTGTAACCCTTAAATGGGATTTATCAAACATCATTTAAACTGTATTTTGGAAAAAAATAAAGATCATTTGCTTTCAAAAAGTTTGTATCTTCCATCTAAAAATGGAACATACTACACTAGTACTATACCATCGTCGGATAATCACTGACGGGTGATCTCATCCTTTGAGTAAAAGACGAGGTCATCCATGGGTATCTGACAATGAAGTAACACTATTTAATACATTTTTTTAAAAAATTAAGATCTTTTGGTGATCGAGTCGCCCGTGTGGTGTAGTGGTTATCTAGAGCGTACGTTTGCTCTAGAGTCGCGAAAGAGTTGATCCTTACGTTCTACGCGGAGACGAGGTCCTGTGTCTACACAGTTCTACATTATCTCAGAAAGATTCCAGAAATGTTTCACCTGTTCTGAAGCAATGGTTCTTTAGGAGAAGATTTTTCCTATATTTCAATGTAAAAGTTTGATTCTCTATTGTAGCCCCACCCTACTCTCGGGTGCCATGATTTGGAAAATTTAGAATCTACACTACCCCCTGGAAGCTTCCACATAAGTTTCATATCTTCTGGCCCAGTTGTTTTTGAAAAAAAGATTTTTAATAACTCCCCCCTTTTTTTTGTCTTTTCTTATTATCTCCCATTCTAAGATCGAGGCCTTAGTCTTTCATTTTAATAATTTAAGCTCCCCTTTACCCAAGGATACTTTGTACCAAATTTTATAAAAATTGGCCCAGTGGTTCTTGAGAAAAAGTTGAAAATGTGAAAAGTTTTACAACAAGCCAAAAAAATGAAAGAGCCAAAGGATGATAAGAGATTACAAAAAACTGCATTTTCCCAGCAAACGGGATTTTCATGCTAAGAGGGTATTTATAGTCGCAGATATAAAAGTATTTTTTATTGGCTTACTATTGCCTTACCACCTATACGCTTCATAGGCGTCGGAACCGCGGGGGGGGGGGGGGGGGCTGGGGGGGGTTAGCCCCCCACTTTTTTTTTGCAAAGATATACATAATATAGGCATTGAAAATTGGGGCTTACCTTTTTTCGTTGGTTTAGCCCCCCCCCCCCCCACTTTCAATTAGCCACCTCACTTTTAATTTGCTTCCGACGCTTATGCGCTTGGTCAGTAGGTCTGTCCGTTGACCAAGGAACCTCGACATGACTCCACCCTCCAATCAATGTACATCTACGTTATTTATGGTCTCAGTCCTGATCTCTGCCCCATAGGAGTTCTGGCCCTAAGCTCTTTTACTTAACTACTTCAAAGTTTCCAATTTTATCGTTATTAGTTAAGAATCTTAATAATAACGTATCAATTACATCCAGACTTTCTTACTCAGTATCGATGGGCTTGATTGGTCTTTTCTGATCTATTCCATTACCAAAAAAAAATTACAAAATTACAAAATTAGAGTTCATTGTACCAACATCAAAATCGAATTCACTTTAAATAACAAAATAATTATAGTTCATGAAATTAAAGTCCTTTTGACCAATTGTAAAGTCACTGTAATTGGTACACCATTAATGTCCGTGCTGGTTTAATAAACTTTTACATGTATTTTAATTTTCAGTCTGACACTAATAAGTTCACTATTAATAGCTAAAATGATTATGATATTAATATATTTCAAGTTAAAAATCTTCAAATAAAATGTTCGTTCTAAACCCGATAGGTTTACAGTATTAATATATATTTGAAAAAGATACAAGATTTTTTTATTAGTTTACAAAAGTTTTGAAGTTGGAAAAGCCAATATACTAAAGTAGGAATAGTCAATTTTTAAATTGGAATTGCATACTTTAAAGTTGAAAAAGCTAAACGTCGTTACCGACAATCTGGTAGTAGATTGATCTCACAGAGTGAGACTGGTTCCATGGCTTTATGGGACAGTTGGTGTATTTGAGTAGAGTTATTTGCTGTTACAGTTGTTATATTTGACATCTCTTAGCTTCTCACTTTTTCTTTAGATTCATAGTCTCAATTAAGACCGACCTTGACAACAACATCTTTGGGTCAATGGAATTTAACACACAATCAAGAAATATCCTGGACCAAAGAAGATAATTCTAACTTCAAAAACTTTCTTACCGACTGAACAGTATAAGAATAAAAATTTTGCACTGGTACCCCCCCTCCCTTCCTTAAAAAAAGAATCTTACAATTCAGCTTCTTTAGATATGTGCCTCAAAAACAGTTGCTTTACATATGAGTGGAAAAGGAAATAGCTTATTTTTTTTATGAAAAGCAAAAGAACCTGATTCTATAGAAAAGCGTTGTGATGTAGGGAAGATTCAAACTTGTTTATCAATAAAACTTCGGCGTTTTTCATTTTTTCTATAACTGTATATACATAACTAACATTAGACTTTCTGTATTAAGGAGAAAATGATGCTATAAAATTTTCAGGCTTTCTGGGATTTGAACCTTTGTGTGTATAGGAGATGGATGCAAAATAGCCTTTGGAATCAGGTATACCAGTTACGAGTGTTTATCATAGATTATACTAAACCCTATTTGGTAAATATAAAGCTGGGAGTTAAATATTTTATTCATTAATCTTTATATACACCATGTTAAGGTTAAAAGAATGCCTGATTTTATCAGACGTACAGAATAAATCAACAATAAGTATGAAAGTTGTATTTTATTGTGTATAGAGATTCACTTTATTTGTACTTATTTTTATTGTTGAAAAATACACTGTATTACAGTATCAATAAACACGTCCCTATGATAAATAATTTACTTACTTACTGTACCCCCCAAAAAATACGTTTTCAGTGAATTTCTCAGATTCAAAGCTGTAAAGTTGATTTTGTTTTCATATCATGAAACTACAGCCTTATATTCCTTATAATAATGATTATAATTAGCAACCTTATAATTTTTATAATAATGATGACAATTAATGCTAATTAAGAAACTAACACTTAAGCGCCTTTAAGACATATAAGTACTATATCCATCAGTTGACAGCGATTCTGAAAAAGTAATTGATTAAATTATTATTGAAATCTCGTGATTAAAATGAGAATTAAATTACTTCTCTTTTTAGATAGTAATTGATTCAATTACAATGATATTTTTTAAGTGATCACGTTACTTTTGAATGCTTTCACAGGAAATATTTGGTAAAGTATGTGACTTTTTCTCAGAAATAAATACATTTCAAGTACTAAAAGTATAATCTTTCCATTTGCATTAAAATACCTCCTGCTGCCTTGAACCATGTTAAGTTCTTGACAGCTGTAAGTCGAACTGATAAGAATAATAATCTTAACCCCCATTTTGTGGTGCAGGTTTGAAAATATGATTTGGTTTTCGTATTTTTCTCTTCTCTCTGGAATACATTTATTTGTTTCTGGAGAAAAGAGGATCCTTTTGAACGACCCTTCACTGTTACAGTCTCAGTTGCACGATTTGGAGAACAAATTAATGGACCTCACGTCGAAGTATAATGCACAAGAAGTGGCCTTAAATGATCTGAAATCCAAGTACAATGACATCGTGGCCATTAACAACGACCTGGGTATTAAATTGGAGTCAGTCAAAGGTAGTACACGATACACTATTTCTGTTTAGGTTTCTTTTCTTGTTAATAAACAACAACAACACACACACAAACAGATATTGATACAATGTGTAATCATACTGGTACTAAAAGTGTACTTCTATTATTTTGTTTGCACAATATTAGGGGCTGTAGATAAACGTAAGAGAAAAATATTTATGTTCTTTTTCAATGAATTAATTTGCCACCCGATTTCAAATCTTACTCATTGTATGTTTCTGTTAACAGCTGGAGCCATGTTTGTACGATGGGGCAAAAAGGTGTGTCCTTCTAATGTCACAGAGCAAATATACTCAGGTATCTTTTAATGATAAATGTATTTTGTTTTTTCTTGAATATGAAATTTTAAGCATAAGAAAAGATATTCAGGTACGAATTCTCTGCATTGTTTAAAGTAATTCAAAGTCAATTGTACTCATTAGATGTTGCACACATATATTTTTGAAGAGAGAGAGAGAGAGAGAGAGAGAGAGAGAGAGAGAGAGAGAGAGAGAGAGAGCCCTGGAAATACCAGAGGTGGAATCTTGCCTAGGACATGGGGCCGTTGTTGAAAGGTCTCACC